AGTAAATGAATGAATGAGAAATGAAATGAAGTTGAAATAGATTGCAAATTGAAGTCAGAAATGTTAGATTCGCATTCGCCAGATTTCCCTTCGCCATCTTGTAAACAACTCGCGCGCGGAGCGAACAGCCTTTCTAACTTGCGCGCAAGCGCTCGCGAGCGCTCGCCTTCTGAACAACACTGCGCGAGCAAGCGCGAGCGAGCGCGAGCGCGCAAGTTTGAAAGGCTGTTCACAGTTCACTCAGCGCGCGAGTTGTTTACAAGATGGCGACGGGAAATCTGGCGAATGCGAATCTAACATTTCTGACGTCAATTTGCAATCTATTTCAACTTCATTTCATTTTTCATTCATTCATTTACTTCTAAATTCAATTCGTATCAATTTCTTCTGCTAATTCGTTTAACAGTACATGTTCGAAGACATTAAAATCTCGTGATTAAAATCTGCTGAGTAACCCTTCACGGGGGCCGCCATCTTTGATCAAGCGAGCGCACAGCGAGCGCTCGTGTTTCGTTCAAGAGGCGCTGCGTTCGTGCAGCGAGCGTTCGATTCGAGCGTTCGGTCTCCTGAACACGCCTCAGGTGGCAGATCACATGTTAAAACAAGGCAGGGTTGAACGCGTTAACACGTGTTTCACTCTCATACGTTAACTGCCAGCTAGGTGATAGCGCGCCGGTTAAAACCTAACGTAACAATTACCGCTGCACTGCGCGTGGCAGCACCATTGCAGCGACGGTGCTGCCACTTTAGCGTGCATGTATAAACGATAATGTTAACACGAAACTCTTATGAAACGAACTTAATGACCCCCATCCCCCCGATGAGTCACATTAATAGAGTTTGCATTCGGTATAAGGCTATTATCCTTCCCGCCGTAGCGAAGACACCTGCTGGTGCCTAACCACAAAAGGGGGTTGTGTGCCAACATATTAATTACGATCGCATACCAGTTAGCGAGAGTCAACGAGTTAGACCACGGTGTAAGAGCCGCGTGTGATTAGAACGCACTTGAGAATGAAATATTTCACTCTCAGTATTAGAGTGGAATGAAATGGAACGGAATGGAACGGAACGGAATGGAAAGGAATGGAAAGGAAAGGAATGTAAAGAAACGAACTAGAATAAAATAGAATAAAATATAACAGAACAGAAAAAGAATAGGCCCCTAAACAGAGCATAGAACAAACATATAATAGAAAAGAAACAGAATAAACAAGCATAGAATGGAATATAATCCCTATATATCCCCGTGTGATATGTCGAGTATAATATATTTGACAGTGTTGCAGTCCGCTATTTTATAATCAGTCTTTGTAAGGCGCGCGTGAACATAGTTGCCTGTAACGTGCGCAATATAAATCAATAAATATTATTATTATTATTATTATTATTATTATTATTATTATATTATTATTATTATTATTATTATAATAACGTGTGTGTGTGTGTGTGTGTGTGTGTATTTTTCTTACGCAGGTCCCTGCTACAAAAGGACATCGCCTGGAAACTCCTCGAAAACAGCGAGACAAAGAGCTACTTTAAGTTCTACAACCAGCCGAAGAACTGGGGGGAGGCGGAGGCGACGTGCGCAAGTTGGCATGGTGACCTGAGCGTCATTCACACTCAGGAGGAGCACGACTTTAACGTTGAGTTAATGTACGTTCGGTTTATGTACGTTCATTTAATGTAATTGTACGTTAAATTTATGTACGTTCAGTTTATGTGCGTTGTGTTAATGTACGTTTATTTAACGTACGCTTAGTAATTGTACGTTCAATTTATGTACGTTTAGTTTATGTACGTTGATTTAATGTACGTTCAGTTGATAATTATGCGCTCGGTTTATGTGCGTTCAGTTGAGGTACGTTCAATTAATGTACGTGCAATACGCAATGTTCAGTTTCGGAGGGTTCGCCTACTAGACGAGGTAAGAAAGTTATTGTCTACAGGCAGACACACACGCACGCACGCACGCACGCACGCACGCACGCACGCGCGCGCGCACACACACACACGCGCGCGCGCGAGCATAAATTGTAGATATTTTCATAAAAATCACGTATAACAATCTTGCTTCGATCCACCACGGAACCAAATATAACGTTTCATTAATTCCTGCTTCCACCTTGTTCTAAACGCGCCCGCAGTCGGGAAAACTCGGCTACGGCGTCCGGCTCATGGATCGGGCTTATGTGGCGGCCCGCGAGCGACGCGTATGGCTTCCTCGGGTGGGTGGACTTAACCGAGAAGGAGTTTGACGTGTGCAGCGCGACGGGCTGCAGCTACACTCAGGGGGAAAACTGTGGCGCCATCAACCCGACGCAGGACTACACGTGGGAGACCGGCGACTGCGATACACCGGCAACGTACATCTGCGAAATACCATCGGGTGAGTGAGTGAGTGAGTGAGTGACAGTCGGAATCAATTCGTCTGTGTCTGTGGCTTTTCCTCCGCTCTCCTCTCTCTCTCTCTCTCTCTCTCTCTCTCTCTCTCTCTCTCTGCATCGCACCTTCTATTGTGACCTGCCTCCATAACCAATTCCGCAGGACCCCCCCCCCCCGTTGTGGTGCGATATATATAGATATAGATATAGATATAGATATAAATATAATATATATATATATATATATATATATATACCGTATTTACTCGTATATAAGCGCACTTTTTTTGTACACAACTTGAATAAAAAAATCGGTGGTGCGACTTATACACGAGGCTAAGAAATCTTGTTAATGTACCAATAGTTGTACCAACTTTTCAAGGCAAAATATGAAGTGCGACTTATACACGAATGCTACTTATACACGAGTAAATACAGTATATATATATTTATTTATTTATTTTAGTATATGTGCACATATATAATTACTCAATGTGATTAACTATATTTACTGACAAGCGTGTATCACACTCCTACTTGTGTTCGCGTTAGCTCGTATTGTAGCCTTCGCTGCAGTGTATATATCTATATATATAAACTTGATCAGCCGAATTAGCTCGTACTCGCATAACTAGAGAACTCCGCAGCCTAGAGGAAAATTTTCAGACTCAGCACGTCTGGGAGATGGTTCTGGCTAAAACAAAAATCTAAAAAGTTAAAAAGTTAAAAATTCATAAAAAAATTATTCATCAATAGATGACGGTGCGTACAGATTAAGATCACGTACGTGTGAATTCATGGGTATGTTATTAACGGCGCAGTGGCCTAATCGCTAGAACATCCGTCTCCTACACCGGGATACCGGGTTCGAGTCCCAGCTGGGGAACTTATTTTTCCATTTTTCCCTTTTTTCCCCTTTAGTATGTATTATTTTTACTTTTTTTACTTTTTACTTTTTATTTTTTATATTTAATGTCTTTTATCTTTAGATTTCTTATTATTTTTTACTGTTTGGGATGGGATGAGATGGCATACGATGGCATGCGATGGCATGGCATGGGATGGGATGGCATGGCATGGGATGGGATATAGGATGGGATGCGGGGCGATGGGATGCGGTGCGATGGGATGGCATGGCATGGCATGGCATAGCATGGCATGTCATGGGATGGCATGGGATGGCATGAGATGCAATGAGATGGGATGGGATGGGATGGGATGGAAATGGATGGGATATGGGATGAGATGCGGTGCGATGGGATGGAATGGAATGGAATGGGATGGCATGAAATGGGATGGATGGATGGATGCATGCATGGATGGATGCATGGATAAGTGTATCGTCTCTGAATGGGGTCTAGTGTATATACACATATATTTATTTATTTTAGTATATATACACATATATAATTACTCAATGTGATTAGCTATAATTACTGACAAGCGTGTATCACACTCCTACTTTTGTGTGCTTCTATGTTCTGTGTTAGCACTAACACTTCTGTGTTAGCTCGTATTGGAGCCTTCGCTGCAGTAAAATCGATATCTAGGAACCAGTAAAATCATGACAACAATAACCTAACTGGAGCTTTGTTCTTCGCGCTGCGTGCGTGCGTGCGTGCCGTGCGTGCGGTCGTGCAGATTCCTACTCTAATTTCTACGACCGACTGCTGCTCAAACCCTTGCTTCAACGGAGGCACGTGCCGTGATTCTCTCGTCGGCTACACTTGCTTCTGCAGCGGCAGCCGGGTTCGCAGGAGGGCGCTGTGAAGAACGTAAGTACTCACCAGCTACCAGGGGCGCTGGAGAGGGCGGGGGTCGCAAGAAGGCACTGCGAAGATTTTAAATACTTGCCAGCTACCAGGGGCGCTGGAGAGGGGCGGGGGCTGCAGGAGGGCACTGCAAAGAAGGAAAGTACTCACCAGCTACCAGGAGGCGCTGGGTGCTGTTGGAGAGATTGCCGGCAGGACTAGGACCGCGTGAGCACGAACGGATGCAAACATCGAGTTCTATATATAGTCGTTCATAAACTAGGCACAACCCCTTCATCACACAGCAGGTATTATTGACTGTCTCCTCGTGCAATCTGACTCGCTAGTGAAAAACGGATGCACGCATGTACACCACAGACCTAGACGCATGCGCCGTCTCACGCGCACGCACGCGAACGCTTGCGCACGCACACAAGCGCACGCACGCACACAAGCGCGCACACAAAGCATTCACACGCAGCAGCTATGTCAAACAGTAGCGTTAACTACATGCGACAGTGCCATGGCGACACCAGCGCCGAGGCTATTGATTAGTGTACTCGACGGTGTAAATCCTACCGCAGCAACTCTTCGGAGGGCGGCTTCTGAAAGGCCTAGCAGCGGGCATTAATATGCGTATTATCAGGAGTAGATAATAGCGGCTTCTATTATCTACTCCTGGTATTATTATACGCGCACACGGGTTAATATCAAACGCGGATAGCGAACACATACAGACAAGAGTCGTAGACGCACAGCGGGCAATTAAATTCACGTAGCAACACAAACAATACACGCGGCGTGTTGATTGGCCGCATCTGCCGCGGGATGGAGTGGGTTAGGAGCCTGGTCGGGAGGGGCTGACCACACACACACACACACACACACACACACACACACACACACACCACAACACACACACCACACACACCACACACACACACACACACACACACACACACACCACACACACACACACACCACACACACACAACACACACACACACACACACATATATATATATATTATAATTATGTATATATGTATATATATTATAATATATATAAGAGAGACAGAGAGAAGGAGAGAGAGAGAGAGAGAGAGAGAGAGAGAGAGAGAGAGGCTGTCACCCACAATTTTCCACTTATCGCCGCGCGTTCGGGTGCGAAAGGTCGGTCGGTTCAGACGCGTTCGTGTCAGAAAGACAGCAATCTCTCCCGCAATATGTCTTCTTCATCTTCTGCTGCGATCTACGTCTAAGTGGGAACGATGCGCGCTCTAGCGGCCATCAGGCGGCAATGTTCGTCTAGAGAATTTCTGGCAAGTTTCTGTAGGATATCTGGATAGGTGTTAGAATATTTGGCACCTTTGAAGGAGCTGGTTTGTGGTTTATGCCACGGGGCCTGAGCGTGACGGCGCGCTATGACATATTTAATATCAGCACGGTCGGTGGCTTACGATGAAAGATCGGATTCAGTCGGATTCTAAATTTATTCTGAATTTCCGTATAATATTATAGCGATCAGTGAATCCGTTTTGTTACTGGCTTGCGTCGAGGAGGTTTAAGCGCCAACGCTGTTTTTTGTTTCAGCCACGGTTATGTACCGCTGTCCTTGTCGTGATCGCGTTAAATTCGCTAAACGTCCAAGTGTTAACTGGAAGACCTACTACAGGTACATGCGAATACACGCACGCACACACGCACGCACGCACGCACGCACGCACGCACGCACGCTCTCACGCCATCGTATTTGCATGTTAACACGTGAATCTCGCGTTACACAAGCCCCAATAATGGTTGTGCTTATTTTATGATCGACTGTAAAACCGATCAGTTCGTGTTGTCTCTTTAGATGTCTGATTATACGATTTTAGAAATGTCTACTCATTAAAAGTTGTGTTTGCTAGAAATGTTGTAATAACGGTTGAACGACGCACTGTCGGATTGAAAATCTAGGCAGCAAATTTATATTGTTATATACGTTTGTGTTTAGCGACATTTTACGTGGGACGCACTAAACGCTCTAAGTGTACCACTATCGCGCCGGGTCATGGTACCGTGTAACCGAAATTCTTCGGTTTTAAAATGTAACTTTCCACCCATAACGCCTCGCTGCATCGTTGCGACAACCTTGCTGCTACAGCGGCGCCACCTCTGAACGTGGACGGGCAGTGGGGGCCGTGGTCTCTCTATGCCGAAAACGAATGCAGCGTCTCTTGCGGCGGTGGCGAGTGGGTGTCGACTAGGCAGTGCAACAACCCTCTACCCCAGGGAGACGGACGACCATGCCCAGCCGGTGGCAGAAGCACGCTCGTAGAATGCATGACCCAGCCTTGCCCACGTAAGTGCAACATCTGTGTTCGTGTGAAACGTGGGTTGCAAACAAGGGGGCGTCAACAGCTTCTCAAAATTGGGGGGGGGGGACATTTTGAGGGAGCAGAGCAACAGAGCGAGGGAGCGGAGCGACCGAGTGGAGGGAGGGTGTGGGACTTTTTTTATTTTTGGGTATTAAAAACAGGCTTTAATGCATTGTAGAGTAAAAATCAAGCAAAGTTTATGATGCTGCGATATTAGTAGTTTATACAGAAAATACAGAAATTTACTTTAGATGCTCTGTGGTGTGATCTGAAGCATTTTACAACCATTCTCATTCATTCTTTTAAAGCTTTAAGCTTTTTAACCTTTTCAAGATTACTCTCATTTTTTAAATAAAAAACTTTTCTCTGTAAGATTTAGATAATTCGGATAATTAACTTTGTAATAAGGAAAATTCTTACCTCAGCAATTGCCAAAAATCGGCCTACTGACTACAATTTGTAACTCTACGGCGGCATGGCAGCGTTGCCGGCCGGATTTGGAATTTCAGATTATCGTACAAGGTGGTTACAAATTATCGTCTGGGGATGGAAATAATATTTCCCATGCGGTTGAATAGTCAACTATAAGCTTTTAAAACACGCAGAAACAAGAAAAAAGAAGTGCTTTTCAGTCATGGTTCTGATCCCAAAAAAGGGGGTGGGGGAGCAAATGATATGATGTCCCCCCTGTCCCCCGCGTGTTGACGCCCTTAATGGCAAATGCGATTCGTGGTAGGATGTCGGGATAGGGGTGTTTGCGTGCGCCTACACCTGGCTCCGTTGACCCCACGATGCGCATCTGTATTTTATATATATTCGACATCGTTAATATAATATAGAAAGTGACTGTTCATATCTTGTTGCTCGCGATCATGTTGTTTTCAACATCAGTCGGCCCTGCAGCACAGGCACTGCCAGCTGGCATAGTATCAGCATAAATTCATCAACGCTAATTCGAACTATTGTCATAACATCTTCGTCCGTCGATGCGTCGCGCTAACAATTGTCGTCGTGACAACGTACGCGCTCGCGCCGCGCGCACAACACACACACACACAGCACACACACAACACACACACACAACACACAACACACACACAAACACACGACACACACACACGCACACACACACACAGGTACACCCACACACACAACACACAACACACACACACAGACACACACACACACACCACACACCACACACACACCACCCACACACACACACACCACACACATCACACACACACCACACAGACACACACACACACACACACACACACACACACACAGCCACACGACACACAGACACGAACACACACACACAGGACCGTCATGTCACCTCACCTCCTTCTGCTCGGCTGCACACAGAACCCGCAGAAACTGGACGAGTGGAAAGTGGCAGCCATGTTCGAAGCAACGTGCGGCGATGGCGTCAGCGTCGCGCACCGCGCACTCACGCAACCCGCTGCCGGCGTACGGCCGCCGAGACTGCCAGGGAGCGACAATCGACAAAACAGAACTGCAGAGAAAGGGATTTCGGCAAAATCCGCAGGCTGATGGCGCTTCTTGCGCTGGCTGTGGCCGCGAGGATCGTGCGAAGACCGTGTGATCATGTGTTGTTGTGGCGTACGCATGACGGTCATTGCCAGTCGTGTGGGTCGCGCCAGTGCATGGTTTACAAATAGGGATAGAATAATTAATAATCAAACTCGCCTCGTTCTGCCGTAGTTCATGACAACTAGCCCACTCGGACACCACGCCCTCCTCTCCTCTTCCCTCTTCTCGTCTCCTCTCATCCTCTCTCTCTCTCCCTCATTTTTCTCTGTCCTGTCTCCCTCTCTCTCTCTCTCCTCGTTCTCTCTCTCTTTTTTCTCTGTTCTCTCTCTCTCTCTCTCTCGCTCTCTCTTTCTCTCTTTCTCTCGCCCTCTCTCTTTCTCTCTTCTCTCTTTCTCTCGCCCTCTCTCTTTCTCTTTTTCTCTCGCCCTCTCTCTTTCTCTCTTTTCTTTTTCTCTCGCCCTCTCTTTTCTTTTTTCTCCATCGGCCCTCGGGTCTCCTCATTTTCCTCCTCTTCTCTCTTTCTCTCTTTCTCTCGCTCTCTCTCTCTCTCTCTTTCTCTCGTTCTCGCTCTATCACCTCTCGCGACCATTTTCTCTTGATGTTCACTTGTTCGACTGACCTTTACGCGACCTCTGGCGACGTTCAGGGCCCTGCGAAAACGCCGACGTGCTGCAGAACTCGCAGTTCACGTGCGACGGAACGATCACACAAACTGCGTCGAATAAATCGTCCGAGAAGGAGCCGGCGGCCGAATGCAACGTGGCGACGAAGGCTACGAAAAAACTGCAAACCTGACAAGAACTGGCACCTGCGTCGTGAGTCGCCCGTACAGTCTCCTACCTCTTCTTTAATATAACTAAATAACAATCATAATAATAATAGATAATATAATAATAAAATATAATAATAATTACTTGAATAAGATATATAATAATAATATTAATAATATCTTGCTAATTATAATGTAAATACATCATCATCCATCCTCACTAATAATATAGTAACTCGAATAAGTCTAATGACAGTTGCAAGAAGATGAAGCTTATGACGTACAGAAAAGCAAAGCCTTATGACATTACAGAAGAGAAATCTAATTACTGACATTAACAAAGAGGAAGCTTATGAACGTTTTGCAAGAAAAAGGAGCTTTTGACATTAACCAGAAGCGAAGCTTATGACGTTGGCAAACAAGAGGAAGCTTATGACGTAGGCAGAAGAGGACCGCTAATGACTAAAAAGTTTGCAATGCAAAGAACCTATGACATACAGCACAGAGGAAGGCTATGGAACGTTGGGCCAGAAAAGAAGCTTATCGACGTTGCAGAAAGCAAGCTATGACGTTACACGAAAAGAAAGCTTAATGACTTGCAGAAGAGGATAGCTATCTGAAAGTTGCAGAGAGGAAACTTAATGACGTTTGCAGAAGAGGAACTTCATGACGTTACAAGAGAAGAGAGCTTGATGACATTCACAGAAGATGAAAGCTTATGACGTTGCAAGGGGAAACTCTATGACGTAAGCAGAAAGAGGAAGCTTATGAACGATACAAGTTTTAGTTTTTTTAAAGGTTTCTTTAAATTTTTTGCTTTCTCCGGCAGCAGCGTCGTTTCCTTGTGCAGCTATGCGCACCGCTCCTCAAACCGACACCGTCCCAATCATCGCGCTGTCAAGACCAGACGGCCGACAGGTTGTCAGCTAAAGGAGGAATCTCAATTCGTTCCATCAAGAGCCATAGATCATCATTTAAGTCTTCTCGCCTTCTTGGCTCATGCTGGTGAGATTCTTTGAAAACTAATAATATAACGACTGAGATAGATAGTTCAGTAGATATTATTATTTTTTTCCGCGTTGCTATACCCACTATCTACTAGTCGGCGCAGTAGAGTTCGAAACCACAGGTGAGAGCTTTAGAAGTTAGCAGTAATGCGTAAGGCTACTGGCACGAGTTTAGGGTTAGGCGTTGTTAGAGTTAAGGTTAGAGTTAAAGGTTAGACGTTAAGGGTTATGGGTTAGAGTCAAGGTTAAGAGGTTTAAGACGCTTAAGTGGATTTGCGGGGGATAATGGTATAGAAATGGGTTAGGGTTAAAGGTTAGAGTCTAGGGGTGGTCTTAGGGTCAACGGGAATTAAAAGATCGGGGTAACGCAGCTGAGCACATCATTGCTGGTTAAGAAGTTGAAATCGTGTTTGTTTCGCTCTAACCATGCGTGATGTAAGCCCCCCCGCCGTCGATGTGTGCGTCTCTCCACAGGAACTTTAGCCCGCACCGCATCATCCAAGCAATGAACATCGGAGATTTCCTGCCTGATCGCCCACCTGTGCTGTCATCCGAGATCCGGCAGCAACCGGTACTTGATAAAATCCAAATATCTTCATCATTATTCTTCCCCGTGATATTATTCATTAGATAGAAAGATGTCATAGTTAATCACTTAAAATTTTTTTTTTCTATGCCATCGGTACAACATTGATAGCAATGGTTTATCCATCGATCACAACATTTAACCAATAATTCTTCTCACCTATTTCAAAAATAATCGTTAATTAAAAAATAGGCAACCGTTCGTCGTGCTGATTGTCGTGACGCACGTCAATTTCTCTTGCAGGAGCTCTGCAAAGCCCGGTCGATCTGCCTACACTACTTCTTCAACGGCTTCGTTCGGCCTTCATGTTATCTCAGAGGGACTTCACATCTACTCGCTGATCGGGCAGATAGTGCTAACCAACGGCATATTGAAGCCAGTGCGAAAAACCGCTGGCTCGGCTGGTGTGAGTATGTCGCGAATTGCCGAATTAAGCGTAACTGAGGCCAAACATCTACTACTTGTTCGCTCCCTTTATCTTTCTCTTCGGCTCGCGTGATTCATTCTCTGTCTCTCTTCGGTTTCTCTTTCTCTCTCATCTACTCTCTCTCATCTCTCCTCTCTCTCTCTCGTGCGCGCCGAGGCTTTTTCCCTTCCGCTCGCCGCTCTTTCCCTCGTGCGCTCTCTCTTTCTCACTCTTATTTCCTCGCTCTCTCACTCCCTCTCCCACTGTCTCTTTCTTTCTCTCTCTCTCTCTCTCTACATCTCTCCCTCTCTCACTGTCTCTCTCTCTCTCGTTCTGTCTGTCTCAATCTCTAACTCCCACTATCAGCTCTTTGCCTGCATATACTCAGCATGTTTAATTATATACTTTTCTGTTCGTTCTAGTTGCTCCTGCTGTTGTCGTCGGCTGTTCTGTGGCGTTACTGTACGAATACTACGGTACCAGCACTCAGTACGTATACAATCACACAGCTATAGCATCCTCTGTCTCATCCCGTCGCCACGTATTCTAACGACATTATGCGACATTATGACGACATTGCGATCTCTCTGTGCACCGAAAAATAATTCCACGGCCAACTGTTAAAAAGTAGCCCAAGGCGTCAAGAACGACATCGGGGAATCGAAGTGCATTTAGCACTATATATCGCAAACAAATAATAGTTTATATAATACATTTATATTCATAATAATCATTAACAAATAAAAATTAACGTTACTTTTACTTTTATTTGCCAGAATCCGCCATGATGACTATGCAATAATTTAATCAGATAATATTTTTTATATAATAGCAGAATGACTTGCACTTTATTTATCCACTTGCAGTCGCATCAGCTCTCTATGAATATATTCGGAGCCAACTATTTGAACATTTCAAATGCCCTGGATCTCTGGCAAATTGTGCTAAATTACTATTATTAATACACCATTAGAAAGCGTTTGATAATCTTGTGTATGACGCACAATAAGCCGCATTTCGAAAATTAGCACAAGAGACTGGTTTGCATATTATCAAGAGCATATAATACCTATTATTATTAGGTATTATTAGCTCTTGATATTATTAATAATTAAAATTGATTCATTGTCAAAACAAGAGCCCCCCTCCCCGCGAACTGTACAACGCTGCACGCGCTCGACCATAGAATTAATATAGATAACCTATCTAGTCTATAGATACAGATAGTCTATCTATATTATTTCTATGGGCTCGACTCTGGCCATCGTGGTTGGATGCGGGAAATTCGTGTTATACACGTGGCAAGAAACTGGTGCGTTCGTTAACTCATCTCTCATCGTTTCTCATCATCATCATCATCATCATCATCATCATCATCATCTTCATCTCTCATCATCATCATCATCATCATCATCATTATCATCTTACATCTTCAGCTGCTGGCTCGACGTGTCATCGCCGCTCGTCGTGACGGCGTTCGTTCCAAACGGCATCATGATCGTCTGCGCTCTGATCCTGAACGCCGACGTGCTGCAGAACTCGCAGTTCACGTGCGACGGCGATCACACAAACTGCGTCGATAAATCGTCCGAGAAGGAGCCGGCGGCCGAATGCACGTGCGACGAAGGCTACGAAAAACTGCAACCGACAGACGTGCACTGCGTCCGTGAGTCACAGTGCATCTCCTACCTCTGCCTTTAATATAAATAATAACAATAATAATAATAATAATAATACTGATAATGATAATAATAATAATATTGCTAATAATAATGTAAAATAATCATCATCATCATCCTCACAATAATATAGAACCGAATATGCTTATGACGTATTAGAAGAGGAAGCTGATGACGTAGCAGAAGAGGGAGCTTATGACATTACAGAAGAGGAAGCTTATGACGTTGCAGAAGAGGACGCTTATGACGTTGCAGAAGAAGAAGCTTATGACGTTGCAGAAGAGGGAGCCTATGACGTAGCAAAAGAGGAAGCTTATGACGTGGCAGAAAAGGAAGCTTATGACGTTGCAGAAGAGGAAGCTTATGACGTTGCAGAAGAGGAAGCTTTTGACGTTACAGAAGAGGAAGCTTATGACGATACAATGTTTAGTTTTTTTAAAGTTTTTTTTAATTTTTTGTTTTCCGCGCGCGTCGTTCTGCAGCTATGGCGCCACCGACTCCATCAACCGACACGCCCATCATTCGCGTTGTCAAGACAACGGCCCAGGTTGTCACTAAAGGAGGAAGCTCATTCTTCATGAGCATGCTCATCATGAGTCTTCTCGCCTTCTTGGCCATCTGGTGAGGTCTTTTGAAAACTATAATATACGACTAGTAGATAGTTAGTAGATTATTATATTTTCCGCGTTGCTATAACTATCTACTAGTCGGCGCGTAGGTTCGAAAAAGGTGGAGAGCTAGGGTTAGAGGTAAGGCCGTAAGGGTTAGGGTTAAGGTTAGAGTTAGGGTTAGAGTTAAGGTTAGAGTTAGGGTTAGGGTTAGGGTTAAGTTAAGGGTTAGGTTAAGGGTTAGACTTAGGGGATTGGCGGTGATATGGTTAGAGTTGGGGTTAGGGTTAGGGTTAGAGTTAGGGGTGGTCTTAGGGATCAAGGGGTTAGAATCCGGGGTTACGCAGCGGACCACATCATTTGTGCTGGTAAGAGTTGAAATCGTGTTGTTTCGCTAACATGCGTGATGTACATGCGTCGATGTGTGCGTCATCCCACAGGAACTTTAGCCCGCATCGCATCATTCACATGAACATGGAGATTTCCTTGCTGATGGCCCACCTGCTGCTGTTCATCGGAGATCCGGCACAACCGGTACTTGATTAATCAATTCTTCATCGATTATTTCCCGATATATATTCAATTTATTCATTAGATAAAATTCATTTATCACTTAATTATGCATCGGTAAACATTGATAGTCAATGGTTATTCATCGATCAACATTTATAACCAATAATTCTTCTCACTTATTTCAATAATCGTTAATTAAAAATGGCAACCGGTTGCGTCGTGCTGTTGTCGTGACGACGTCATTTCTCTTGCAGGAGCTCTGCAAAGCCGTGTCGATCTTGCTACACTACTTCTTCACGGCTTCGTTCGCCTTCATGTTTCTCGAGGGACTTCACATCTACTCGCTGATGGCGCAGATAGTGCCACGCAACGGCATATTGAACCGTGCCGAAAACACGCTGCTCGGCTGGTGTGAGTATGTGCGAATGCCGATATAGCGTGACTGAGGCAAAACTCTCTACTTGTCGCTCCGTTTCTTTCTCTCACTCGCTCGATTTCTCTGTCTTTCTCTCTCTCTCTCTCTCTCTCTCTTTCTCTTTCTCTCTCTCGTGCGCGCGCTTTTTCCCTCTCGCTCGCGCTCTTTCCCTCGTGCGATCTCTCTTTCTCACTCTCATTTCCTCGCTCTCTCACTCCCTCTCTCACTGTCTCTCTCTCTCTCGTTCTGTCGTTGTCCTTCAATCTTTTAAACTCCACCTATCAAGCTCTTCTGCCTTGCATGTATAGCCCGAGCATGCTTCAATTAGGTATACTTTTCTCGTTCGTACTAGTTGCTTCCGTGCCTGTGTCGTCGGCTGTCCTGCCTGGCCGTCCTACCTGTACGCAATACTACGGTACCAGCACTCCCAGTACGTATTAACACATCACACAGCTATAGCATCCTCTGTCTCATCCCAGTCGCCACGTATTCTAACGACATCTATGGCGACCATTGGTATGACGACATTGCCGATCTCTTCTGGCACCGAAAAATAATTCCACGGGCCAACTGTTAAAACGTAGGTCCAAGCGTCAAAGACACGACATCGGGCGAATCGAAGTGCATTTACACTATATATCGCCAAACAAAAATAGTTTCCTATTATAATACACCTTTATATTCATAATTAATTCATTAACAAATAAAATTAACGTTACTTTTACATTTTACGTTTTGCCAGAATCCGCCATGATGGACCCTATGCAATATTTATCACCATAATATTTTTCTATAAAATAGCAGAATTGACTGTGCACTATTATTTATCACTATGGCAGGCGCATCAGCTCTCTCATGAAGATATCGGGGCAACGCCCCACTATTTTAACATTTCAAAGCCCTTGGGATCTCTGGCCAAACTTGTGCTAACTTGACTATCTATTAACCCACTTTCACACCATTAGAAAGCCGTTTAGATAATCTGGGTAGGACGCCCACAAGTAGCCGCATTTCCAGAAAAATCTAGCACACGAGACTTGGCTTGTGGGCATATTTATCAAGAGCATATGGAATACCCCTATTAATTATAGGTATTATTTGTAGCTTCCCTTGACTATTATTGAATACATTAAAATTGATTCATTGTCAAAAACCAGAGCCCCCCTCCCCGCGAACTGTACAAACGCCCTGCCACGCGGCTCGACCATAGAATTAATATAGATAACCTATTCTAGTCTATAGATACAGATAGTCTATCTATATTATTTCTATGGCTCGACTCGGCGCATCGTGGTTGGATGCCGGGGGAAATTCGTGTTATACACGTGGCAAGAAACTGGTGCGTCGTTAACTCATCTCTCATCGTTTCATCATCATCATCATCATCCATCATCATCGATCATCATCATCAATCTTCATCTCTCATCATCATCGATCATCGATCAATCATCATTATCATCTTACATCTTCAGCTGCTGGCTCGACGTGTCATCGCCGCTCGTCGTGACGGCGTTCGTTCCAAACGGCATCATGATCGTCTGCGCTCTGATCCTGCTTGAAAGCAGCGGCACGGCAAACTTCCGGCAGCTTGACGACGTCGACAGACCCCAGCTCCTGAGTGCCCAGTGAGTAATTAAAGCACTAGAGTGGGGGGAATATGTGTGCTAGTGGACGTTTATGTGATATAATCGATATAATTATATATATATATATATATATATATATAGGGCCGTAGCTAGCCGGAGGGCACAGGGGCACTTGCACCCCACCCCCAGAAAAAAGTAGATACAATACATGGTCAAAGGCAGTCACCTTCCCAGAACACACCATGCACTTGGCTTTGCCCCCATGTAAATTGGTTAGCTACGCTTATGATATCATTATAAGTATACAATATATATATATTAAATTTTAGCTAATTAATTACACATGCGAGGTAATCACTTCACTACTATGTACGCGGTTCATTAGTTCGTAATGTTTCGGAATCTGCTTCGTTTTTCTCTCCGTCTTGATTCGACACCAAACTCCGATTTCTCGAGTAGTTTGAAACCGAAATTCCGTTTCCCCGGCGTACAGGATCAACCAGAAGGCGAACATGGTCATTCTGCCGATGATGTCCATCTCCTGGGTGCTGGGCGTGATGGGATACGATTACCAGGATCTCTCCCTGTTCTCCCTATTCGGAGTGTTTTGTTCGATCACGGGATGGATGATGTTTAGCAGTCATTCGCTGGGCAACGAAAAGGTACCGTTGGCACGTTGCCAAATATATCGTTTTGTGTTATATTAATTATGTTGATAATTCGCGTTCGTGGTCACGGTTCCACGCTGTCGCTATGTCACCGGAGTGTTTCATTGTTTCCGCAGGTGCGAGCGATATTCCAGCAGCTTTGGTTTAAGGTGATCAGCTGCTTCTGTCCACGAAAGGTAAGCTTGTCGCCATGACGACGCACCCGACGCCGTGAAACAGACGAGCGCTTGGAATTTTCTTCTGGTTTACACGTCTGCATGTTGCTTACAGTTATATATGCATTTTATTACAGTTGTATGGTTGTATATACGTTGCTATTAATAGTCGGAAGCGGGCTTTAGAATTTGGCAAAATGCGTAAAGGTAAAGGTAAGGGTAAAGTAATGGCACTGAATTATTTAAATATGAGCTAGAATACGGTTGCATTCAAATCGATGCATTATTACCGTGAACATTTTCATATCAGTGTTCTACAAGAGTTTAAAAAAACGTGGAAAATGAGACCAGATGAAAATTCTTAATTCCCCTGCCACACGCATCTCCTTGTACTCGTCCCTGCTATTGCTATCGTAGTGCACGTCAGTGTATGGAAATGCAAATAGAGGAAGCATGGCATATTATACGTAGTAGGCCTCCGCCTGCTATAGGAGTCGACCATAGCTGGTGCATGGTATCAAGAGCTAATAATACCTTATATAGTTTTAATATTATCAGGAGTAAATGAAAACAACTTTTGTTTTTATCCACTCCAGTTATTAGTTATTATTTCCAAAGTGGATCACGGCATTAGCCGGTGGCTTCTGGGTTGACCGTGTCCCAACCTGGGACATAGGGATTCAATCCAGAATTTTTCCCAGGATGTGTGCTGTTCCCAGTAGTGCGATTTTCTGCACTTCTTGGGCAGTGTGTTGGCTTGGGAGTTCCTTAAGGTTCTTCTCAAAACCATTCTTTAGAGAGCCAAGGGCTCCAACCACCACTGGTACAATTCTCGTCTTTGTATGCCACATCCTCCTAATTTCAATCTCCAGATCTTTGTACTTGGTGAGTTTGTCCCTTTCCTTCACCATAATGTTAGAGTCATCTGGTACGGCTACGTCAATCAACAGGCATCGTTTTTCTTTCCTGTTGTGGAGCACTATATCAGGGCGGTTTGCAGGTATCGTGCGATCTGTCTGCACCGCCATATCCCACGTTATGGTAGTATCTCCGATGTTGGTAACTGGTCTCGGAGTATGTTCATACCACTTGTCAGATACTTTCTCACCAAGTTCACTGCAGATTGACCAGTGCAGATAGC